TTCCTAGCCGCCTCCCCACATTGCCGACTCATGTTCATCTTGGAGTCAATAATGACTCCCAGATCCTTTTCCACCTCCGTGCTGACAAGAGGGGAGTTCCCCAGCCTGTATGTGTGGTGCCAATTGTTCCTCCCCAGGTGCATCACCTTACACTTGTCTGTGTTAAACCCCATCCTGTTCTCCTCCGCCCATCCTTGTAACCTGTCTAGGTCCAACTGTAGCCTGTTGCTCCCCTCAGTTGTGCCCACATCCCCCCACATCTTACTAATCAGTTATTGGTCTTTAACACATTAATGTGAAAGTAGTATCCAGAAACCCGTCAGGATTGGTCCCCGTCATGCTGGCACTTTTGCAAAAGCTAACAAAAGAACAACCTCTGCCAACGCATGGAGGGTGATATTTTAAGGGTGGAGGAAGACGAATACATAAAATACACACTTTTTTCCCCTAAAAGTATTGTTATTTTTGTAAGTAGACAAAGAATCAGTTCTCCCCTTACTCCTAGCCATCATTAATTGACTAACTTCATATAATCCAATTTATTCTTTATATTGAGATTTTCCCTAAAACGTGAACAAAACTTTCCAGAAAGAGGAGGGCATGGGCCCTGCTCCAAAAACTGAACAACATACAAAAAGGAAGGCAAGGATTTTGTGGCTGATGTCTCTGATTGGACCGGCGGCATGGCTGGGATAGGGCTGTACAAGACGTCGAACGCTATGCATGCCTCGTCCCAGAGACCCGGGGCACAACCTTGCCTCTTGCGTCTTCCCTGGCCCATCCCAGCTACACCATCGCTCCAGCACGACTGAAAAGAGAGAGTCAGACAGAGAAAGGCAGAAAGCAATACAGGAGTCTAGCAAAGGCATCAGAGGACAGGAGCTTATTCATCCCATAGTAAGCATTTTTGGGGAACACTTCTAAATGGAGCAACCTCCCACTTCTGGCAGAGCCGGCTCCCCCGCCGCCCTGGCGTGCCAGCACCAACTGCTCCCCCCACCTCGTTCCCATTCCCGGCGCCCTGCCTCCCTACCCACGAGCAGGTTGAATCGCGAGATAAGTTAACAAAATAGAGAGGCAGGAAGTGAGCTGGCTGTTTCCTCGGTATTGCAGAAGTGGGTTCAAGGAAGAGTTTGCAGGGTTTTGTGGATATTGATTGCTCCGGGGCTCACAGGAATCGTAGCTGGGGACCCTTGCGGGAAAGCACCCCTTTGTGCCCGGCTCCAAGCGAAAGGCACACGGCTGCCTTGAAACTTGGAGGTGTTTCTCCTCTCTCCGTCCATCCGGTGCAAAGTGGTAAATGTGCCTATTAAAGTGCTAATGTCCTACAAGTGGAATCCCACCTCCAAGTGTGTTAGGGTAATGAGTTCACACCTAACTAATGGAGACTTAATAGACTCACTAATGGGCTGCCTTTTCCCCAACAGTTTATGACCCCTCAGGATGGCAGTTGTTAGGGCAGAGCGAGGTTAGAGGCTGAGCGCTGTCCTCCAGCCCGTGCAGCAGCTCCCTTTGATCCCCCTGGTCTCGCAGCCCCTGGCCTCGCTGACTTGCTCTGGCTCTGGAGGCAGTTTCCAGGGACACCGTCTCTCCACCTTTCTGCGAGGAAAAATAAACAGTTTGAGGCTCCCGTGTCTTTATTAAACATTTCCTTTAAACTGCATACTTTGGCGCCGTGCCCAACTGCACCAAGAAAGCTTCCACAGAGCAGCGCGAGCCTCCGGCTTGGCCACATGGTTCCCAGGATAAATGACCCTTTGAGAGAGCGCGCACCTGCGGCGGGAGCCCCTCCCCGGCTCGGGCCCTGCCGGGCTTCCTGCCTCCCCGGGGCATCCCACGGAGGTCCCCTCGGCTCCCTGCCGCACGTGAACCTCCGGGCATGTTTGGGGAAGAGACGAGGGTGACCGAGGCGTGCCTCGCACGCTTGCGTGGGTGCCTGCGCCCACCTGGCAGAGAGGCCGGGAGGCCTACCAAACGCAGCAAGCT